TACGAAAAAATTCTGTAAAATCTTCGTTTGACAAAAGACAGATTTTTCTTCCCTCCCTAGTGTACCTAAAATCTCCCTAGTGTACCTAAAATTTTTATTTGCAACTTAAAGAATATGTTATTTTAAAAAATATACAGTATGGCATATATAGAAGTGAATTTCACTTCGAGAAGAGAAAAAACAAAATTAGTTAATAAATAGCAAAGCCACAAGTGCGTATTTTAGCACGTTGGATAGGTAAATATAATAAATTGCAGAATTGTAGACATTTCTATAACCCACGTATTATATAATATTTAACCATTATTGCCTATAGATAAGTGAGGATGAACTTATGGAGAAAAGTTGATATAACTTATTATTAAATCTGGGTCTTTTGTGTTAATTTATGTGTACCCCAGTAATAAAAAATCTGTATCACAAAATCAAATTAGAAAATACGTTTACTTTTTTAGTTAATGTTTTGAAAAAAAAATATTTTTTTAGAAAATTTATTCGCATTTAAATAATTTTAGCACTCTCAACTACACTTCCCACATTTTTATACTCTTGCACCATATTGCTACAGAATATAATATTATATAATTTAATTCACATAACAGTTATTTGTATCACTTAACACTAATCGAGATACATATAGTTTTATATATATAACTTGAGTAAAAATTTAGATATAGTCACGAAAATTAGTACACGTGTTTCTTGTTCGAATCGAAAAGACATGTTCGTAGATATATGTAATGGAACCACTGCTACGCCCACAAAACGATATTAATCGAAAACTTTTAATTGGCATAACTAAGCCACAACAATACACAACTATTCTGTCATTCCCATGCTACAGTGTGAAAGTGGGCGTAATCAGTCCATTCAATTCAATTCAGTCAATTCAAAATCAAATAAATATATAGAGATAGAACTTTGCACGAATTGTAACTTTAAGGTATGCCATCTCAGGTCTAAAAATTTTTTAAAATCGGAATATAACTATTCAAGATACCGGAAACGTGGAGCATATGGCTGAAGATGATTCGTGAGATATATTTTTGAAATTCGGAGAGAATCCTTAATAATAGTATGTCAGTATGTCAAAAATGTGTTGAATTGGGTCTATATTTCCTATTGCAGCGCGACCTATGGTAGACCCAGTAAATTGATAAATTCCAGTATACTGCTAGGTGCTATTGAGGCGATGTGATCTGTATTCGGATACATGGATCCATATACCAAATTTGATTTCGTCGAATAATAAATGTTGAATTCTTTCGCTAATTTCATTTTCTAATAAGTTTTGACAATACCAGAAAGTATTTCCCCGGCTTAGATTCTTGCAAGTTGCAAGAGTGTGAAATGTTCGGTAACACCTTCCATACTTGTTTGGCCTAAATTCGGCACAAGTAAAAATTATCAAATACCACACCAAATACGAGTTTTGAAAATTTGACAGAAATTCAAATATTTACCAATACAATTTAATAACAAAAAAAAAGTTTAGTTTTAATAGATAATTTAAATTTATCACGGCAATTTATCCGCAAAAAAAACAATAAACTTCATGAGCCAAATATGTAAAAAATATGTAATAAAAAAAAGCACCATATTTAGGAATTTAACGGAGAGGCGGAGGAGCAATTATCTATAGCCCTAACAGTTGAAGATATGCCTCAGAATCAGAGGTAAATCTTTGATATGAAAATAATGAAGGATTTGATACGGTGCCTTTGTTCTTAATGATACTAACATACTTGTAAAGTTGATGTAACGAGTCCGTTGGAGCTTGGAATTTGGAATTTTATTGAGAGAAAATGTAATTTACTTGATTGAATACTAAAGTATCATAATTTTGAAGCGGCAGAAGTTGGTTAGCTTCAGCCTAAAATCCGCTACTGCCCACTTCTTATGCGGTGGGTTGTGATCTCTTCGTTCGTGAGACAAAAACGACTCTCGTCAGTAGTTTATAATTCGGTGTTCGGTTGTGCCACGTCGTAGCGTGTTTTACTTATTCGTTCTTTCGGGCTCTGTAGAATGCAATATAGTTTTTGAGAGCTTTGTTATTATTGTAGACCAGTTCGGAAGGCTTTGAAAATGACAAAAAGTGAAAGAAATTTATAATAGGTTGAAACCCATTGGAAACGAAACATAAAATAACAAAAATGAAAGAAAAATTAATTTACGTATGATCTGAGGTCGGCAAGAGAAAAGTTGTTCGTTGCATTTCAAGCAAAACTACGAGTGCCATAGAAAGTTCTCAAAGTTGTAGGAATGAAAATGTCTATTGTCAATAGCTGTATATACAGTTGTTGAAATCCGTGTTTTTTTTCTTTAATGCCGATAACTCTAAGCGGCTGTCGTTCGAACAAAACTTTTAGTACAGATAATAACAAAATACGTATGTACATAATAATAACAATAACCCATCGATCACCCTCCTCCCGCCCAACCGACGCGAGAGGCGCAATCCGTATACGTGCGGAATTAGCCGAATCAGAAAAGGCAAGAGAGTTTTTTAAGTCTTGAGATCTAAAACTGCTCAGCTTCAGAAACAAAAATTTCAACAGCTAAGATTTATAGTTACGATATAATAAATTGTTAGATTTTTATTTATTAAGAGAAAACAATAAAGTCTTTTTAATTTTGAAAAGCGAGTCAGATTAGTCAAATGTGCTGGAATGAGAATTAAAATCATGATATATACGGCGGAATGATATATACTCGTTTAGTTCGAAATTTGATTTACAGGATTTTAACAGTGAAGATCTAGTCTATCTCGAAAAGCGAACTGTGTTATTAAATTTAATTTCAGACAGGAAAAAAGAACTGTTCCATTCAAGGTTTTCACTAAAAATATTATGCCAAGCATTTCCCTACGACTAGAAAGTGTATGTAGGTAGATTTATAAGTTTTAAGCGACTGTGTATGGAGGTATACTTACCCTAGAATCAAATGGAAAATTCCCTAAGGCGAAAAGTAAAAATTGTTTTTGAACAGACTCTAACTTGTCAGAATGGATTTGGTAGTTAGGGTTCCATACAACAGAGCCATATTCCAATATAGGTCTAACCAAAGTTGTATAAAGTGTTTTAGTAATATACGGATCTCTAAATTCTTTAGACCAACGTTTAACAAAACTGAGGACAACGGACTTCTACTTTTACTTTTATTAACAATTACTATTGGAACATACTTTTCAAATAATTTCGTAATAATGTTATTAAAATGAGAGACACTCAATTCAATATCACCATTATAATTAGGCCATGATATTGTAGAAAGTTCTGTATTTAACTTTTTAAAATTAGCTTTTGCAAAGTTGAACCGAGTACGGAAGCACGAAGTTTGATAATTATTATCGCAATCAAATGAAAAAAAAGTAGAATAGACAGGAAAGTTAGAAAGGGCCACAAGGCCTAGTCATCGCTTGGATGAAATGGGAAAATCGAAAAACAATCAAAGCATATAATAAGAAATAACATATTGATGCTCTAAACACCTAGTGGAGTTGTGATATGGTGACATCGAAGTCAAAATTTTGATCCCAAAGCGGTGTGAGGAAGGCGTTATACTTGTACATATACGTTAATATGTATAGATCATGGTGTTTCATGAGATGTTTTCAATCACTTCAGAAAATTCATCTCAGCGGCTAAAAGCCACTGTAGCCTTTGTATTTAAATAAATATGATAAATAAAGATCGACTCAAATCTGTACTCAACCTGTCGTCCCGAGCATTCGTTGTGCTTTTTGTATGCATTTATGTGAATATGTGCATATGTACATACCATACATACTTATTTATGTTTACTCGGCAATACAAGAAGGTGTGCGTTTACATATATACACAAATGCATATCCACAAATATTTAAAGGCATTTGTTTGTTTTTTAGCTCTGCTAATTGTGGCGTTTTTTCGCAGAATCGCATTTTTTGGCCACTGCAGTTGTCTGTGCGTCGTTGTTAGTCGTCATTGTATTTCGTTTATGTGTGCGTTTTTTTATTGAGCGCGCATATTTGAATAGTGTTTTAGATTCGTTTACTATTCATTGGTTCTTTTGATTTACAAAAGAATATACTCAAAGCAGATTCCAAGCGAATAAGTACACTGTTGTACAGCTTTATGTGCATTGAGATGTCTACGTAGAAATTCTTTGTTACAATTTCCTATCTACTCCAGCTGATTCTATTTGGTTTCTCTTTCATGAATTGTCATTGTCATTAAAATTTTTTCTTCTTTATCATATTGGCAATCGCTGGCTTCTTCGTTGTAATTCTTACGGTTTAATGCGGCCTAACTCTCTATTAAAGGGTGGTAGTGGTCTGCAACTAGTAGGGAGCCAACACGTTTTGTATGAGTACATGACCTATGAATTCTGAAAGTCTGTCCGAGTTTTTTATAAAACAAAATTATAATCCAAACTAAAATAGACCTTCTCAAATCCTTACTAATGAAATTTCACTTCATTAAATGCGCTAGCAATGAAAAATATTAAAATATAATACATTTTGTTTAACTAATAATTTGAAATAAACCATATACATATGTAAAAGAATATATATAAATGTAAAAATAACCCAAATTGAAGAAAAGATTAGGACAGTGCATGATTCTTCAAAAATTTAAATTTTTTTTTTTCTTAAAGAACACCTTAAGACCCTAAATCGTTAATATAGTAAAAAATATTATTAATATGATATTCGAATTTCGCGATGGTATTCGGAGACTATCGCGGGTATCCACTTACAATTTTGACTGTATCTTCACAGTAGCATTATCTTATAATCTTCTTACGACTTTTTGTATCATTTTTAAAATTTTTTTTTTAACAATTTGCTGCTAATATTTTCCGTCAAAAATTCAAAGCTAAAATTCAGGCTCTCTGATTGAATATCTTTAAATATTTATACCCCTTTTATAAGCCCCAGCCAGGATATCCCATATAACGTCAAATTATTTTTTTTGATATGACATAAGAAATCTGTTAAATAAGGAGACCTTCGTTACCTTTTCGCTGACACTAATTTTCCTCTAAGGATTTTAATTGACGTCCTTTTTATAAGCCAAGGACTGTCAACTCGGCACCAATCCTTGAAATTACTTCAGGAATGTTTTCGGCTACAATAACAACAGCAACAGCTTATGCCTACAATCTCGCTCTACAAAAATGAGCTAAAATGATCTTTTTACAGTATAGATAATTATTCTCCTTAAAATCTACTTACTTTTCGCTGATTTAATTTAAAAGGCCTTAGCTTTATACACTTCATTTTTATAAAATAATGTTTGGATTTATGTTAGATATGTATACAATTTTTCATGTTACTATGTAAACTGCTTTGAGAGTTGACAGGTTATAAGAAGATAATTTTTTTATAAATTTACCAGGTGCGTTCCAAAGTAAACAGTAAAAAAGTAACAAAGTAAACTCTAGCGGCGCCTTCTATATGTCGACTAGTGCGTTAGAATCTGCTATCCTTTATCGACTTCCAGTAAAAATTTCATGACATTTCATCTATTGGAAGGGAAGTTATTGAGTTTGAAGTGTCAGTATGTTTTTGTCATCGGTGCGAAAATGAGCTTCGAACAAAGAGCCAACATTAAATTTTGTTTTAAAATTAGTAAAACTTTTACCGAAACGTTTCCATTGTTGAAGCAAGTTTATAGCGATGATTGCCTATCCCGTAGCAGAGTGTACTAATGTAATATGGGATCAAAAAATGTATACTTAAAATATGTTTCGGTAGAGTACTTTATTCCTCAATAATCCACTTGTTTTTGTTTAAAAATTGTAATTTGTTAACGTTTTTAGCCTTTAGTGCTGTTCTCCTATCAGATATTAGCGATCCAGATTTGCTAAACATTTTCTCCGACTCGGGTATATGTATGAGTATGTAAGTATATATATATTGTGAAACGCGATCACAACAGAATATCACAATTTTATTCTCCAACATCAGGATCACTCAATAAAATGAAGGTTTCTTTAAAAATTTTATTCGCGATTCTTATTAAAATACCGGGCCACCGAGGCGTCTAAAATTCCTGAATTGAGACTGCATGTAAATATGAATATTTGAGGTTAAGTGCAGCCGCCATTTCAAAACATTAGAAATTATTGCCTAATTGTAAATTTTTCCGCAACATTCCTTTTAACACATCCAACACCTAATTAAAGTATAAAATTTTTTATAATTTGTATGTTATTTTAAAAATTGTCTGGCTTTGCGAATTTGGAACACCATGCGCGCAGCCAAGACAAGAATGAAAATATGATTTTGAGGCTACCATCCCTGAAGCTATCTATCGGTTAAGTCACCGGTTACTTAGCCAACAGTACTATCAGTGACTTCTGTTATAATTTCTGTGGCCCTAAGTTTCTATCTGACCCAATTGACAATTCTAACCGAAACTCTTGTGTACGTGTGATTGTTCATCCCTTTCGCACGCATTGGGCTTTGAGTTGCACGGTGTGTATGTGTTAGTTTCCGCATTGATTCCTTCAATGTATTGGAGTTTCAGTAGTCATCACTTGTTGGGATGTTATCCAAAATTAGACTTCACATTTGATATTACCAGACTATATCATAATGTATTATAGTTTTATTAAGTGAAATTTTGCAATTTTATGAAAATTGTTGGTAAGTCGAGTTAAGGCATAAACCATCGATCTTTATTTTCTAAATTTGGTACGCATTTTTACGACGCGTATAATTTGACTTCTCTTTCCGGGCCGTGTGATATGTACATGTATATATCTGGTCTGGTTTGTGGTTTGCCACCGTCGCTATAGCTGTTGTTGCTGTCGTTTGGCCATACTACCCTTTAACTGAGCCCAGCAAGTGATTCTCATCACTGTTCGGCCGCCCATTCGTTAAGGGATGCGCTGTCATACGTTGCTTCTTTGCGCTTTTTCGCCGCGCCTACTTGTAATTAGTCAAGCACTGTTTTGTTGTTTGTGCGTTGGCTATGCAAAATGTTTTTACTTTCAAATTTATGCATATATGTATGTATGCATGTGTGCACAGATATTTATACTGTATGCTAAGCACGATTTGCAGTTGTTGCACTTTTTGCTATTCGAGGTCACACGACAAAACTGGTGCGTTTCTCACATACATACATACATATATGTACATATACCAATATAATACAGCAGTATTCCGAATTAACGAACATATTAATTGTCAGGCCAGCTCGTTATATCGATTTTTAACTAAAGTTAACTAAAGTATTCATCCAGCCAGGTGTTTTTTCAATAAAAATTAGTAAAATTGTCGTTTAATTGAATTATTTGTTAAAAAAACGAACATTTCAGACTCATATGCATGTTACCTTAAAGCATGTAATGCGCTGAAATTAAATTCTTGAGATCAAAATGTTTGTATACAGTAAGATATTTAAAAAAAAATTTTTATCGTCGATTATATTTGATGACTTCTTCCTGAAGTTCAGTCAGTACAATAAGTTTTATAAATCGTTATTGTTCTTCTTTGCTCACTAGATATATTCTTCGAACTTTTTCTGCAGCTTCATGTTGGATTTTTGTTTTTATACTTTCAATTTCGTCATTCCCTTGCACTTGATCATCAACCCTATCGGAATTCTGTTTGAAATTTTGTTCAAATCACTGACCGAGAATCGACGCCGAAAATGTTGAATATAAATATTTATTTGAAAAGGTCTAAGCATATACAATAATATAACGTTCTTTACATTAGGAAAACCCGCATTCAGGAATTTACCTTCATTCATTATTGAATAACCCTCATCTTCCTTACGAACAACGAAATAGGAAGATAACTCTCTTCATCTAAATTACCTTTGCTTGGTTGAAAATGAAACAAATACAAAATATAAAGAAACATTAATATATTAACTGTTTCTTTTTATTGTTTTTATCTTCTTTTGTATTTTGTTTTACCAGCATTTTCTTTTTTCAACTCCTATATACATTTGTTTTTTCATGTTTTTGTTTGTTAAACCGAGTACAGACAAATCCCCGTTGGTCGTTATTTAAGGTTTTTAATGTAAAATATATATGTATATCTTTCTTATATGTAGAAATGAAACGTTATTTCGTTATGTACCCGCAGAACTTCCGAACTAAAGCACGGAAAGCCGTGAAAATTTGCACAGAAGATCAGAAGATCACCATCGTCGTCTATAGGTATAGATACATGTATGTATATTAAAGAAAGTCATGTTGGTTACACTATTTACAAACCAAGAACGGTTGAGCCGATTTGGCTGAAAATTGGTGGGGAGGTTGCTTAGAACCAGGGGACGGACACAGATAATTTTAATATTTTTGTGTTAAAATTCATATACATATAAAAACAAATTATATTTAAAATCATAAGCATGTGTTTAAAATTCATGTAATATTTAAACTAGTTGGATAGCACATCTAAGTTTTAACCCTATAAAAATATAACTTATTGACTCATTAAGTTTCGTTACTACATTTTGTTTCAAGATTCGATATATTTATATATGTTAAAACAATCTAACTAGCATAATCATATTAGTGCTGTTCTAAGGTACAATAGCTATAATTTTTACTACAGAATTGCATAATGCTAATGAATACATTTTAAAAGTGATATAAACTAATAGGCACGAAATTTTATATATTGGCAGTATGGGATAAAATCTAGCAAAAGAACGTAAATGATTATTGTAGTTCTCAACCGATTTCGTTAATTTTCATCGCTTTACTACATTATGCTCACTTTAATTAAGATATCTCACATATTGACCGAGTTATATGATGTAAAGTAATATTGATGTTTGAAAACCCTTATATTAAATACTTATATATACGGCAAGTTTTCACCCACAAAGATACACTGTCATTAGAAAAGCACGCTTTCTCAATTTCATTAAAATAACTAACACATTGGCCGATATACATACGAGGCATAAAGTCAAACGGAAGTTCGAAAATCGTTACATTAGGTAAATGAGGGGGCTAAGGCAAGTATTGATCCGATATTAATTAGTTCTTGATTTGCATATTGGAAAGTGAAAAAATCAGATGGAATTTAAAGTTGTGTTATATGGGAAGTAGGCGTGGTTACGGTCCGATTTCGCCCATTTCGTTTACATGAGAATGTCAAAATAATCATATGTACCAAATATGGTTCAAATTGGTGGAGTAGGCTCGGAGATATGGAATTTCACTTAAATGTGGTCGGTGCCACACCCGTCATCTAATTTTAACACCTGCTCCTAAAAAGCCCTTTGGTGTCATCTCGGATGTCAAGTTTAATGTGTCTGATGCATTTCCTAATTAATTTATCGCAGTTTTAGTAGTAGGTTTTAACGTTATATGGGGAGTGGGCGTGATTATCATCCGATTTCATCTACTTTCATGCCATCACAAGAGGTGTCGAAATGATACGTCCTGTGCAAATTTGGGTGACATAGCTTGAATGGTTTGGGAGATACATACATCAAACCTATTAAGGGGTGGGCCAAGCCCATTTTAAAAAACCAAACCACAGATGCCCCTCAGTATTGCGATTCGTTGTACCAAATTACGCTTTTGTACCTTAATTTCAGGCTTAGTTATGACAATTTATAGGTTTTCGATTAATGGCGTTTTGTAGTCCCGTTTTGGCCCGTTACGCTATGAACTCGTCCTCACGATATCTCAATTTTTACTCAAATTATCGCTTGCCCGGACGGGCAGACAGACAGTCACTCGAACTTCAACTCGTCTCCGTTAGGAGAACAAAACTATTACACTCTGTAGCGACATGTTGCAAGAGTATAAATTATGTATATAATTTTTCGAGTCTTTTCCTACATGTGTTACATAGGGTTCGCGGCTTCAAAAATTTGTATTTTATTGTTTTTTTGTAATTCTATAACATCTCTAGAATATTGTCCCAAATTCTCAAGTTGATATCAGTAATAATTTTGGAGATACAGCTGTACCAGATTTATACTCAGTATGGTTTGCATTTCATAATAAACAGACTTACTCCGGAACAATGTTTGAAAAATGTGCAAATTTATTACCAAAATAATGGTTCGATTCGCGTGACGCATCTCGCGCTGCGTCCAATATTCTGTCGACATAATCACCTAGCAGAGTTGGTAATTCGAGAAACCATGAATTAGTTTCGCACCACGTTTACTCTAGTGGATAATGCGCATCCTCAGAGACGCCAACGAAACAATTAATTTTTACAAGGAAACTTTTGTTGAGCCATTATTTCGCGTCGTGAGCGTCTGCTGCAATAAGTGGTGGAAAATTGGGCCTCTTATCTGGAATCAAATTTTAAA